TAGCTCTTTTACCAGCTCTAGCTCTGACAATAGCTCTGCTGGCTCTAGCTCTGGCAATGGCTCTTCTTCCGGTGCTAGTGCTGCATTTGGATATGCCTCTGGATCTGCCTCTGGATCTGCCTCTGGATCTGCCTCTGGATCTGCCTCTGGATCTAGCTCTGATACTGCTCCTGTCACTGTCAGTGGTGTCTCGCCAGTGTCTGAGTCTGGAGACCATACTGGAAGTGAATCTGAGCAGGAGGGAACCACCTACAAGGCACCTAGCTCAGCTAACTCTCAGACCATTGGTGCTGCTGGGGGCAAGAACATTTCTGCTCCTGCCTCGTCTAGTACTGGCTTCCAAAGGATCTACAGCAGCACTCCGACGGCTGCGTCTTCCACTGCTCAAGTGACCGCAGTCTCAACCGCGTCTAGTGCAGCTGGTGCTCTTTTCACCGGTGCGGCTTCCGCCATGCACATGACAAATGGGCAAATGATTGGATCCCTTGCCGGTGGATTGGTCTCTATGCTCCTCATGTTTGTCTAAGGAGCACGCCACTATGTTGCCCAGACACTTTTATCAGTAATGGCTGTCCGAGACCCGACACTTTTGCCTGTCATCGTCTCCTTGTTCATACCTACTATAATAGTCTTTGTACAAAGATGAATGTATATTCATTTTATGAAATAATATCTCCTAATGAAGCGATATGATCCAGTCTGTTCATTGTAAGTGGCACTGAGGATATGCCAAGGTAGATGACACTGGAGATGCCAATGCAGCGCTGAGAGGCAGCGGTCGGTGAGAAGACTGAGGTACCAATGATGATGGTAGCCCTTGCTTATTGGAATATAAAAGCCTTCGTCTTGCTCACGATTTTCATCTTGCCAACCAATCAGAGTTCCTGTCTTCACTCATGATTCAGTGTTATCTTGAGTACATCAAGCTTGCCACGCACCAGACATTGGAAACCGCATCATCACGATCCCCGAAGTAGAGTAGAGCCAGATGATAACAACGAGATCGATACTGTCTGCCAGTAGAATCACTGCCTTCCTCGCAGCCTCCCAAGGAGAAATGTACTTCTATATATCCCGAATCAGATACAGGATACTAGGTACGGGTAAGTTCCCCGGCGCAAGGAACCAAGACCGGCTGGGGCTGGCATTTCAGCAGCGTGCTCATGCTCGGCTAAATATGACGAGCGTGTCTAACAATCTGCGCGGACAGAGATCGAGTTGTTGACTGTTGTGCAACATCAAAATGTCAATATGAGGTAGAGAGAAGGGTTAGACCAAACATGGAGTGCGGAAGTCGTGATCACGGTATCTTGAAGTCTGGACTTCGGAGATCCTGGGGTGGACTTTGATGGCTTTTTTGAGCCGAAGTATGTGTATATATATATATATATATATATATGTATGTGTATGTGTGTGTGTGTGTATGTGTATGTGTATGTGTGTCAATCTGCTGCTGCTGCTCCTGCCGTAGACGTCACGGGCAAAAGATATCTCGACGGGGCATGTGGTTCACCCGTCTATATCGAAGTATAGTACACACCAAGTCCCACGGTGTGGGTAGGGAAAGACCCGACAGCGCACATAGTGTTAGTTTGTATTTTAATGAGAGTATTTGATGGGAAGTAGCTTGCTAGTTCTATCATGCGTATGAGATAGTCTAGCAGGCTCTGTGAACATCTTATATCTCTTGAGTACCTGGTGACTTGGAAGGAGCTTGGCATTCAACTGCTACATATACCGAATTCTAGGCAGGTCATTGGCCGGGCATCAATCAGGCGCGAGCGAGATCGGGTTGGGTTGTAGTAGTAGTAGTAGTAGTAGTAGTAGTAGTAGTAGTAGTAGTAGTAGTAGTAGTAGTTGCTGTGGGGATATATTCGGGGATTATGAGGAAGGAAGGGAAGGATTGCTACCTGGGATGGTAGCAGAATATGAGCATGATCGTTTCATATATCCATTGTCATGATGGCACCTCCATAACCACCAGGCCAAAGGCATTAATCAGGATTAGGTGACATCAAGACGGGATGGAATCCATCATGGGCAGAGTGGTACGTGTGCACGCTCAATGGTTGAAACCCCTGCCTGTCACATACTGAGTACTGGCAGCGGCCTGCCCGTGACACTTCCATTCTTCCCACTTCGGAAGGACTGCAAGTGGTCACGGGGTATTACCCGTGGCCTAGCTGAGCGAGGTCTTCGTGCCCGACGCTTGACAGATTTACAATGTTGATGCTCTTGCGATCGATCCTTCCTCACGTGTTTCAGATCTCCATGGGAGGAGATGGAAACAAGGAGGATTGCCCGATTAAAGCCGGAGGCCTAAGAATAGACTTGCAGATGCGATGACTGGTAAAGTGCTGTGATGACCGTCTCGCAAATGGTGATCGTCCGCCTGTAGAGCCACTTACACATCTACGCATGGTCTTCCGCGGACTGTCAACGGCAATGATCTGAAGCAATGTGGTGGGGGGTCGCATCAAACCACCCTTCGAAGGATCACTGATGCTACCAGTGACAACCAGAAGGGGGGGTTGGGGGAGGCAAGGGAGCAAAACGGGTTGGAATCTAGAGTCGCTAGCCACTTGTTTCTACGACTATGATCATCCAGAAACCCGCATACTTCCTTCCTTCCTTCCTTCCTTCCTTCCTTCCCCCACTATCCCGTGTCAGCAGTGACAAGTCCTGGGGAGACAAGACGTGCACGCGGCAGTTTCAGAAGAGTCTCAGGATTTCATGATGCGCACAGATCGAAGTAGCCCCGTTGACGCATCTCAGAACTTTTGGAATTGGCTGGTTCTCGGTTGTTTCAAGTCACACACCCACACACACGGCATACCTCGAGAGGATCTGAGACGTTTTAGACAGAAGAACCAGACCTCCAAACATAGAAGCATCTGTCCCCCATCTCTGGCACCTCCTCGTCTAATGCTCCGATTTCATCCATGGCCGTCATCTGCGATAGAAGACACACAGAGAGAGAAACGGGTGCCTGATTCGTAGTGGGGAAAAGAGGCTTGCCAACCCCCTCGTGTGAGTAGTATGCAAGTGACTTGAGAATGAGATAAACACGGTGAACTTAGTGCCAGGAACCTTGTAGGGTTGAGCCGGACCGGATGGATCGTACTTCTTTCTCGTATCGAGCCACAATGGAGATTAGAGTTGGAAGCTAAAGCCAAGTGGCTTTTTTCCCACCCCAAAGATTATCATGGACCAACTAAATAACCGTCTATTTTGGACAGCTGCAGGGGAGGGCTGATCGACAATTCATGGCACCCAAGTTCACTAGTAATGCATAAGGGAATCGAACAGCCACTAAAGGCCTTAATGCCCATCTTGACTTAGCGGAGGGTCGGAGGAGGTGAGGGGGGAGGGTCGTTGGAACATTGGTCGGAACCAAGGCACATCTCGATATGAATGCAACCGTCTCATTATTGTGGCAAACGCGAACGCCATTCGGCGTTCGAATTGCCAACCCTATCTTTCCACTCCCCCTGAGTGTTGACTCCGCCGGACCAGTTCATTTGAAGCGGTGGCAGATGACAAGCCTGGCAAGCACAACCACGCCAAAAGCATGGTTTAAGGCCTCAAACAACGGCCGTCAAGTCTATTTTGGGGAAGACCTGAAAAAAGACACCAAAAATTAAAAAAGCAACCAGAGCGAGCCGAAGCAGCCGGACAAATCGTCATGGCAGTCTGGAGGGAAATCCTTCGGATCCGTAGTCCGTAGTCCTTACCACCTGCAGGGGCAACTCGCAGCATCATCATCGTCCGTCGATCCTCCGCGTGCATGAAGACGAACTGCTGGGTCCGCAAGGCTTGAAGGGAGGGGGAATGGTTTGCAGAGTCGCAGGAGGAACCGACGGGGCGCTATTGGCCAGATCGTCCCCATGGTGTGACGCTCCGTTTACTGCACTCGGAACCCGGTGGTCGAGCTTGGTGATGAACTCCGAAGTTTTTCTTTGCCATGTTCTAGAAAGGTATTGTGTTTGGTGGGGGTGAAAGGCGAAGGACGGGGGATGTCCGTGATCGGTGATGCGGTGGCTTGGGGGAGCGAGGCAGATGGGGAATCGAAAGGCTTGAGTTTGAAACTAGAGATGCAATAGAGTCTCAGGCTATTGAAACGCCATTCTCAACCAGGCAGTTGGTATCTGCGATTGGGTTCGGGACCCAGGGAAAGGGGGGGGGATGTGGCAGACAAACTGGGGAATCTTCGGGGGATTTTCCCACCGTCGTATCAAACCATGCCGCAGCGGTGGGTGTGGATTGAGGAGGGGGTTAGAGAGAGAAGGAGGGGGGGAGGGGGAAAGGCATCTCGTGGGAGAGAGGCTCAGTCAGGAGGAAAATGGAACCTTGAAGCGGGTAAGACATCCTGGAACCGGCGATGATGTCAGTTACGTTCCAGAGGAAAGTTTCTTACTGAGTGCATTCCACTCTTTGAATGGTTGGTTGGATGGGGAACTCGATCCAGATTGGTGAGTGGAAGTGGAGGAAGTCCGTGCCAAGACGATCTCCCAAGTAAGGTTGAAGTCAACTGACGATGCTTGTTCCTGTTTTTGTGCAGTGGGCTGGACTGCACAGTAACTTATACATGTGTATGTACGGAGTAGTGTATAGAGAGGAGAAGAGGTGAAGAGGTGAAGTCAGCGACTCCTTTTTCCGACTCCGATTCGAGTCCCCTCTCGCCGATGCGGAATGCAACACTTGGTTCCTCCAACCAACCTGGAGCCGTCCAACAAGCAGTGGTAAAACGGGTGGTGTGCACGACAGAGGTGACAGGCAAGATGAGCCGATCAGCCAGTGCCAGAGTGCCAGTGCCAGTGTCACATCACCCACTTTCTCCCCTTCTGGCAGCGGATCCCAAGAACCGGGAACCAGCGGACGGTGACACGACAGCAAACACCAGAATGACAAATAATCCCTGGCTTCCCTGGCTTCCCTGGATTGTTTGTGTCAACCTTAGTCCACATAGCATATCATTCGAAGATATGACTTTGACAATAGTGAAAGTCTATTGTTGCTTTTAGTGAGACGTTGAAGTTGCCTAAAGAGGGAAGTCTAGTTTCAGTCCTCCAGTGAATCATTCAATTATGCTTTGGCGGTCAAGACGATGCTTCTAGAAGGATTCTACCAAGACGGAGGAGAAAAAAAATTGAAAAAAGAAAAAGAAATAAAAATAAAAACCGAGTCGGGATTTCCGACTGCCATTTTCTTCCTCAGAGTGGGTGGGTGTTTTTCTCCTCTTTAATAAAATTACCGGTTGGCTTAGTTGAAGGAGATGGGTAGCGTTTTGATTGTTTATCTCTGCTATGTGTTTTCGATGATTACTTGAACAACCTTGATTATTGATTTCTTCTCTCTGAATTCTTCGACAGCGATAGGATTGCTGAGCAAATAGGGAAGACTACTGGCGCCTTGCCAGATTAGGGCAAGGGGATCTTTTCTGCCATGCCGCTCTGCAAGATCCAGGCTGGGATCGGCACCCTGGTTCCAATCTCCATCCCCTGCACGATCTGTCTGGGATCCTGGTGCGACAGGTGCAGAAAAAAATAAATAAATAAATAAAAAAGGAACAAAAATCCACAATCAGAAATATATGTACTCGAGTAGCAGCCACTAAAGCAAGAACTGCATGAGACTAGACCCAATGCGGTCTCCCGCTGCAGGCTCCGCTCGGAAGTGGCGACTGGGCTGTCAGTTTCGAACCATCACCAGCCTCTCGGCGGCTTGGCTGGACGATGGTGCGCCGATGGCCTGCGTCATCGGTGGCTGTGGTCTTCGTATCGGCAGCTGATGCCACTGCTACGGAATACTTTACTTGTACCCAGGTAATTTAATTGAAAGTAATCGAGACGAACACAGCAATGACCCCATTGATATGTCTCCTGACCACTCTCGACTGCCTTCTCCATTACTACTACTATGTATAGACATACGTACTCTGTACAAGCACGATAGCTACACGATGATGATGATGATGATGATGATGATGATGATGATGATGGTGACGGGTCCAACCGCTGCCCATTCAGGAAGGAGTCAGTCAGTCAGTCCCCGCCCTTTGACTGGTAAGATAGTAACTAGTACCTATTGCAATGGTACTGTACTATTGAGTAACCTACCGCTATAACGACAAGGCCACGACTCAGTTCTCCGGTGATCCTCCGTCTCGGTGGGAACGCACTTAAGTTCCGTCATGGTCATGAACTTGACACTTTGCGTCGTTCAGTTGACTTCACCGACACTAGAGCAAGTTTGTACAGCCCCGGCGTCTGTCAAGTACCAACTGACAAATCATCAACGGCAGTTGGAATCGTGAAACTCTGATCTAGCGAAGCCA